CTAACGAACATACACTACAAATACACAGATACAGATATCTCGCTTACCATCTTCCACCCACACCCCCTACCCTAAGCTGTTGTACATCAAAAAATGTTCGCAATCTACTTGACTTGACCCATTTACTGAAGGTCCTGATTCAAAAATACTGAGTTTACAAGGAGTGATTGATATGAATATACGTTTATCTGGGAATGTGACCCCTGAAATTGACATGGTGTGATTCATTAGAGAAGACAGATCACTCTGTTGGAATTGTGGAAACAACAAAAACACTCAGTCCATTCATTGTCAGCCAGTCATGTTCTTGATCAATCCAATAATCAACCCATAAACAACTGAAAAATGCCAGTGCTAATTTCCTGAAGCCCAAGGTCATGAATCAAATATCTCACTTTGGCCAACTGTCAAGAGTATCCACTGAATAAGGCAAAAAAAAGTAACATACTTTCACATTTAAGAACCTAGTAACATCAGATGTTTGGTATTTTTTCACAAATGTAAACCATTAATCAATTATCAGAACATCTGCAGATTAATTCAGATTAATTTTCCTGTCGATCCACTAACTTATTATTTGACTACAGCTCTAAATGACTATCACAATATAAATCGCCTAGTTTCTGACACTCTGTGCCCAAACATTCAGAAAACTTTGTAAAGACTAGTTGTGCTCCATGACAGGAAGACAAAGCAGGAAATAAACAACCAATTCCCTTTCAGAAGTTGCTCAATGACGAGGTGCAGTAAATCATGTTTCTGTTGTGTTTTCCTCCGTCTACCACCTGCTTATACTCGAGTTGCTGTTTCTGAACTGGAGGAATGTGCTCTCTATTACTTATCTCTATTGAGCTCATCAGCAGCACACAGCTGAGGAGAACAAGCTGAGGCACGCTGTCTCTGGTTGTCAACAGACAGCCTGTCCTCCTGGGCCTCAAGTTAAGCCTCCCACTGCCAGCAGTACAAGTAGTGCTGACGCAAGGAGTCTATTGATTAAATTATTAAATAAAGGAACTGCCAACTGATGATCGATTAACAATTTTATTAACCCAGCAAAAATGTCAAACATAAGCTCAGTTAAGCCTCTTGAATGTGTGGGTTTGCTGCTTTTCTCTGTTTTATATCACTGTAAATCGGAAATCTTTGATGACATTTAAAAAAATCTTCTTATTGCCAAGTTTACAGACACTAATACTTCCCGCTTCTTTTGAAAATTAATACAGAAACTATTTCTCGCCTTTTTTTTTTTTTTTTTTGAATGTGAAATATCCATAAGATTTTGGACAGATCTGGAGTCTCACTTCTTTGAAACCTCTAATTCAGTTTACTCCTTTAACCTTGGGGATTTTATTTATTATTTTATTATGATAATCCAGATAATAGCGCTCTGACATATCCAATTAATTTTGTTGATCTAAATGCTATTATTTTTTTATTCACAAACAGAAATTCTCTGAGTAACTTCCTATCTTTTCTCCTAGAACTGAAGGATCCTCTCTTCTCAAATCACTTATTATCAAAACAAAATAAGTGTCAGCTTTAAATTATGTATGCACTTTTTCCCTCAAATCTCCTGTCTGAATGTACCTTTTTCCTCTATGTTTGTCCCCGTTCATCTTTTTTTTTTTGTGATTCTGGTTGTCTGTTACTTTAAATACTGTCAATTATACTCTCCATTTATACTTATGTATGTCATTATTTTTTATTTATTTTTACATGTGCTGTTATTATATACCTGATGTTTTTTGCATGTTCATTTTGTAATTTATTTTTTAATTTAAATAGCTTAACCTTGAACTTCTACATTATCTCATATTCTATTGATAATCTATGTATAAAAAGCCACACAGATAATGGAAATAATCATTACTCGCAATGCTTTGAGTTGCCTCCTGTACTGCAGGTACAATCACAACATACCAGCACATACCTTTTTCATTAATTTAGGGTTAGACTGGCTCCGAGCTTCTCATACATATATGGAAATGCTGTAAATAGCAGCTCCGTTGAGTAAACAGGAATGACAGGTTCATGTTTACGCAATAGGACACTTGAAGTGCCATCACAGGTTTTGTTTAGTACTTGTAATTAGCTGGCTATAAGTGGGATGATGGTCTGTACGTAGCCACACAAAATGAAAAAGCGTCATGTGTAACGCACTGTCATACATTTCGTCAGCTGACTCCTCCGCCCATAAGTCAAAAATACTTACTTGAACCTTTTAAACATTGCGTTGTTTTAAATTACAAGTTTGGTGACCCTTAAGACTAAGCGTTGTGAATCAAGTTTAACTGATACTACACAGTAATGATCGTTAGATTGCACCTGAGTTAAGTATCTGCCTTTAAAGTCTCGGATTATGACTAAGTTCACTATAAACGCAGACGACAACCCGACTGGAAAGGCTCGTTAATGTTAACTAGCTAGCCTGGCTGTGTTTTGGGAGGTATAAATGAACGAAAACAGTGTATAAAGGGAAATTCTGTCGCGTACAAAGCCGACACTGACTGAGGAAGAGTTTACGTTCAGAGATAAAGTAGGCCTACTGTAAAACACTGCGGTCAAGCCCAAACGGACGAACTTTTACACTAGCGATAACCGAAGTGTCTTCAAGCTCACACGACGTACAGCAAACCGAAAACGTTAACAGGTTATTGCTCTCCATATTTATTTAAATGAAACTTTATATTTATGGCACACGCATTTTAAAAGTGTAGAAAATTAGACTTATACCTTTACTGAAGCTTCTCAAGTCTTCTTCCTGGTCCTGTCGTCTGCGCTGTTTCTTCTTCGTCTCTATGTTTTTTGGCGGTTGCAAGAGTCGAAATGCCACAGTAGCGCCACCAGCTGGTATGAGTTGGAGATAGTTGAGGAAAAGTGCGAATAACCCCCTACAATCAAAATATTTTTTCTGAATGCTGAAAATAAAGTAAATAACACTGATCACATTTGAATAATAACGTAAATCAGGTTCTCAAGAGGAAGGTGTATACCATGTATACAAGCAACAGGCAACACAAAAATCTCTAAGGGTAATAAACAGCACCTAAATTAAGATTTCCAATATATTACTTCCATGGCTGGGGAAGGTCTAATCAATATTTGTGAACATGAGCCACTCTCTCTCAAAGCCCGAAACCAGAGAAGTAAGTCTCAAACTTGTGATGTCATAGTCTAGAGCTGCTTCATCGACAATGAATAGCATCTGATTTTGTGGACTGATTTTGTGTTTGTTTTCTTTTTTATACCCAGATGAGCTTTATTCTATTGTAGTGTTCTCACTTCTGAAACAGAAAATTTACCCATATACTCAGAACATTCCCCTGAGTGCTCTAAGTGTCATCTATAACATCATTCCCAATTCACTGTCAATGGAGCAGCTCCAGACTTATACCCTATGACATCAGAAATCTGAGTTTTAGCACTAATATTTTTGGACTGTCAGACTAAAAGTATGAATTTTGAAAATGTGTGAAGTTCCCCTTTACAAAAAGAAGAAGAAGAAGAGGAAGAAGAAGAAGAAGAAAAAAAAGCTCAAACGTTGTATACTGTATAGCATTTGATTACAATCTAAAGGTGTTTATTCCATGGTTAGATCATATCATATCATATCATTTAGAGATGATACATTTGTAAATAATCAAGTAATAAACAAGTGAAAAATATGGATCATGATTTCCCAAGCCCAAGATCAAATGTCTTTTTTCCAACCAACAGTCCAAAATCCAGAGAGAATCAACTTACTAAAATGTAAGACAAATAAAAGCAGCATCGGGCCTTCCCAGACACATTTTTTTAAATCTTTGTATTACCTGAATTTCTACCTTGTAGGACACCAACCAGTTTGTATCATTAATGCTCATATTTACAAAATAGTTACACTGTGCTTTAAGTGTCTTTCCTCATCTGGAATTTAGCACCTGCACACTCACAGGACACAGTTTGGAGTGATTTTAGTAAGAAAATCAAACTGAAAACGATAAAATTTGGGGGACAAAATAAGTATATAGAAAGACATGTCCCTTTATCCCCAGTGGAAATAAAACATTTGTCTGTGGAGGAAGAATTTAGGCTCATCTATCTCAGTTTTGTGAGCAAAGAGTGGACACTTTGATGTCAGGACATATAGACTCAGCTTTGGTGTTTCTTAAACTACACAAAATCCATCAGGGTTCCCAGGTTTAATTTCTATACTGAATCCACTAGATGGGGCTCCATCCATGGTTGTTTTTTCTCTGAAGGCCCAATGACATTTGAAAGTACTTTGAGTGTGTAGTTTGGCTGGAACATCAGACTATAGGTCCTTTAATAATATACTCTATGTGAGTGTCCTTTAATCTCAGGCCTCGTTGATCACTGACTTCTCATCCATAGGGTTCTCTTGAATGCTGAGCTTTAATTTTGTTTGCAAGACTGGTGGATTTGCTGTCTAACTGCAATGATTATAATGCAATAACTCATATATCTAAAATGAGCAAATTCTCTTTTTACTTTCTCCATGGCCAAGGACACTTCAGGGTGGATGTATGCTGTCCTTGTGGGTTAAATTTAGGGTCTGGTGGAGCTTCAGACTCTGATCACGAGACCACTATGCTGCTTCTTAAAATGCTTAAGATCAGTTGTAAGACTACTGAATAACAGAATGGCAATTTAAAGAGAGAGAGAAATGTTAGTTGAGACAAACTACCCACAGATAAGAACTTTGCCCTGAAATATTTTCAAAATACAGAGTTTCCAATAAAAAGTGTCTCACTTTGAGGTTTTGATCCCAGTGCGTAATCAGGATGGCACGCCCGTGATGGATACCCAGGTGTATTCGAGATTTGTATATCACAGAAAAAAACCCAGACTATTTTGCAGCTCCATCCACTTGGGTGGCGTTGCAGTGGGAGGGATCATACAGTAACAATATTGAGAGAATCCAATGAGGGTGCAACAAGATGAGGCCCCCCCTCTCTCCCAAAGGGCCCTGCCTCTCGGCGGACCACTGGGCCTGGCGCACCGGATTGAAAGTCTGTGTGCATGTGGGGCCGCTTAAAGATGTGCGCCGACCAGACGGCACAGACTTTCTCCGTTGAAGAATCAGCGAGATGAAGAGCAGCGCCAACCCGGCACCATGCGCTCCAGGCTCCCAAGGACCGCCTGCCTATTGCGACTCATTGCACTCTGCATCCTTCTCTCGCACACTGCAGCTTATTTTGGGTCAGCAGATTTCCTTTTCACTTCTGCCCATCACATTCATTGATTGCATTTGTTGTTTTAACCCTTACAGGAGATGATGCAGACAACCATTATAAACGTTAGCCAAATTACGCACGCGTAATTGTGCGCAAAATATTGTTTTTTTTAACGTTAACAGTTACAAATTGTCATGCTAGTTAGTTACAATAAACCACGATCATCAGCAGTGCTAATTTATGGTGTATCTCAACCAAAGTAATCTGAATTATTTAGCTATTTTTACGCGATTTGTTGAATTATCGTTCATTTTTTTTCCTCGTAAAGGCATTTCTGTGGTAGTATTGCCAGCAATCAGATTTTGTTTTTCCGTTTTAGTTTACGGACAGAATATATTAAGTAAATTTCCGGTAGCAAGACGGAGTAAACAGCGCAAAAATTCAACTTTATTACGGTCATGTTTTCATTAAGTCTATAATAACGTCAGTGGTAGAATTATTAGCCTATTGGGTAAATAGTATAGACCAACAATTTAACTTTAAAGGCTCACTTACAAATGCAACACACCAGACTTACAAGAGCCTTTTTCTCTCCTCTCCAAGGCTGACAGGTCGGGAACCCTTGGTGTTTTTACCAGGTTCGTTTTCCAATGAATCTCCGACAGGCAAGGCCCACCTGAAGCAGTGCGAGCAGATGACTTTGACCAGGCGGCAGAAGAGGCTGTGTCGCAGGGAGCCTGGTCTGGCCGAGACGCTGCGGGAGTCGGTGCGCCTCAGTCTGCTGGAGTGTCGCTATCAGTTCAGGAATGAGCGCTGGAACTGCAGTCTGGACGGCCGGGGAAGCCTCCTGAAGAGAGGTAAGCCCAAAACTTCAGCACGATTTACAATTTAAACACTCAGCTGACCCGTAATTCAAAGTGGCAATTGCAGTTTATTTCATCTTTATTTATTTGTATCTTGGTTTACTTAAAGTGAGACAGGTGCAAAGCTGCCCACTTTTTAAAATCTCCATCACTCTCATGGATGGTATCTGTTTCTGAACAGCAAGATGGGGCGCCGAGCCACATCTGCTGGCATGTAATTAGTTAATTTAATTAAAACCAATTAAGTAATTATGGCAACAAAAATAGTGAGAAGGGAAAAATAGGATGAGCAAATTGTTTATCTCTAGTTAAGGTTGCCAGAACAATTTGGGGCCAAGATGGGGACAGTAATCACACATGATTCTGCTCTAACTTCAATAACATATTAATTGATAGTTATTTATTAATGGTGTGACTCATAGGCCACATGTTAACACAGAAATGTGATCAAATGTGATCAACATCTAAAGTTAAATTTAAATATAAATCACAGTAATTATCACAGAAAATTATCAAATTAATATCTGTTAAAATATTATGTCTATCTCTAAGAATAAAATGCAAATTAAGTATTTTATAGACTATCAGTTTTTGTTCATATTGGTTACTCCATCATTGAATGTACAACATCAAAATTAGTTTCAGATAATCAGATTACAGTAAACTGTCCTGAGTATTTAGCTGTGCTGCATCTGAAGAGATTGCTAGTATACGTTTTGTTATAATAAAGACAAAGCAAATGTGCTGTATATTACTTTAGGTCACATTCATTTTCCTGTACTTCTGTTTCACTAAAGCATTTGTGATGACACCAGGTGACACTTCTAAATCCTTTTTCTTTTATGTTGTGTTTCGCAAGAAGTTCTGCAAACTCGCAAAATTGTGTACTTGGAAACTTAACTATGACTTGACACACCATTAATTAGCTACACTTAAAAAAAGATATACTTAATCATTATATTGGATATAACTCAAGTCCCCTGCAGGTTTGCTGTGCACAGAAAATGCTTCATACATATGGATATCAGTGTGTGGGAGAACATGAACAGGTCAGCATGGAGGTAATGAGGGAGTAGAAAGCCAAGAAATGTGGTGCGGTGGAGAGTGCTCAAGCCCCGTGGTTATTTTTATCTCGGGAAAGCGCCCATTCCCAGAGGAAAAGGGTGGCATGATTACCCACTTTCATCTGGGAAAATCCTTCCTAGTCAAAATAATAATTAATTGGATCAAAATATACCCTGGTGACGGCTCTGGGTGAAGCAAATAACAGTGCGTAACCAAAAGGAAAGGTCAGAGGAGGAATTATGACACAAGAAAACTTGCAGAATAATGCTGAGGGTGTAGTAAACCATGACAACGTAGTGAGCTCTTTGTAAACATTTCGGCTTAAAGGCTTACTTGGTAGCACAAAAGACATCTTGATGATTGTAAACTATGAATGAATCCCTTAAGCTATACAAAGTTTGGACTCAGAACACATTTTTAATGCCACAAATAGCTCTTGCATTCAAAGCTATGTAAATTCAGCCCTTTAATTCTGTCCTAGATAAAAATAAACTTTTACACAAAATGAATCACCATCCTCTCATGTCTTTCACATCTATCCCAGCATTCAAGGAGACTGCCTTCCTACTAGCAGTGTCCTCTGCGGCGCTGACCCATGCACTCGCCAAAGCATGCAGCTCAGGTCGAATGGAGAGGTGCACGTGTGACGACTCCCCCGGCATCCAGCATAGGGAAGCGTGGCAGTGGGGGATCTGCGGAGACAACCTGAAATATAGCACCAAGTTTCTCAAGAAGTTCCTCGGCCAGAAGAAGGTCAGCAAGGACCTAAGGGCTCAAGTTGACGCCCACAACATCGACGTTGGAATTCGGGTGAGTGTGAACAAACAAACCCAAAGGAGTAGAAATGTTGCATCAAGTGTGCGAAACCGCTCCCCGTGCTGCTTTATGGTGAAGTTGCCTCCTGAACTCAAGGTGTCACAATTATCACTTATACCTGAGCCACACTTTGCTCAATTAGTTGGGCTGCAATTTCACATTACACCTCTGGCACGCTCCAGTGCCATCAGAGGATACAGAATCGTAATCCTCACCTGCAAATTTTTCACAGTGCCAGCCAGACAAACACCCCCTTATTTGCTGCTGTCGTTGGCCTTGGAGGATAATACAGAGGCAAGGGTGAGGCAGTGTAGCAGGGAGACAAGACGGCTGTGGGATCGTTGGAGCCAGGTGTTCTCAGACATGATAAAGCTTGCTGTGCGGGCCTACAGAAAATTAAAGGTCTCATGTCAGGGAGAACGATTATAACCGTGGCCTCTTTTTTAATATACGAGCAAGCATTTTTTTCCACTTACTGGATCACTGTGCTCTTCATAAATCCACCTAATGTTCATAACCACCACTGTGTAGCTCTGAAATGGTAGCCCCAGGGTCCTGCAGCTCACACCTAGGTAGGGTCGGAGGAGACAAAAAAGGAAAAAAACACAACAGGAAGAACTGAGGGCAACTATCTTATCTCATCTCTACTGAGTTAAATGTTTTTCTCACTTTGCACCAATGTGGCCGAGAGGAAACCACAAGCCATGTTAACCAAAACACGAGGTGGTCAGCGCCCCCCTCCTCTCTCAGTAATGGTGCTCTGAAGCCCCCGAGGGGTTCATACCTGCAAAGGGAGGAACTGAGCAACACTTTTCAACCCAGAAGTACCCTCTGGCTCCTTCTGCATGACCTGTCTCTGGCCTCCGCCAAGACAGCAGCTCTCAGGCTGAGTGATCGTGCTCTCATCGCTGACCATCAAGCTCAGTGAACTATTAACCTAAATCAGGGGCACGGTCACAAAACTGCCGCTACATTTTTTTTGGCACTTCTTGTGCAGAAATTCTTATCAATGTTTTCCATGAGCAGGCATGTACAAAGAACAGGGTGGAGAGATTCCACTGTCTGCACCGTTTGTCACCTATGCCTCGGGCTTAAGGAAAGAGAGGCAGGAGAGAAGCAGACAGAGCTAGTTTCAACACATTGAGAAAAAATAAATTGCAAGAGCTGTCCAAGTGAGAAATGTGAGGTAAATGAAATACGACATTCTGAACAGTCCCCCCTCAATCCATTATGTCAAAATTTTTGACTGAGGTGGGCTAAAGGCGCACTATCCGCAGACCACCACCCCTAACCCCCTACCCACCCTGCAGGAAACTGTCTCACTCTGTCCAGATAGACCTTCCAGATAAGAGGCCAGGTAATGAATCAAACTGAAGGAACTGACATCTCTGCCTTTTTTTCCCTCCCCTGCTTTTTTCCTCCCATCTTAGGCAGTGAAGAGCGGCCTGAAAACAACCTGCAAGTGTCACGGCGTATCCGGCTCGTGTGCCGTACGGACTTGCTGGAAGCAGCTGTCTCCTTTCCATGACACCGGACGGCTGCTGAAGTACAGGTACGACACTGCAGTGCGAGTGCTGAGTGTCACCAACACAGCCACTGGGGAGACGGAGCTCGCTGGGCCCCGTCGCCATAGCCAGAGCCTTCGCACTACTGACCTGGTCTACCTGGAAGATTCCCCCAGCTTCTGCAGACCCTCCCGCTACTCCCCGGGCACAGGCGGCCGGTCATGTGCCAAAGACACAAGTTGCCAAAGTCTGTGTTGTGGACGTGGTTATAACACGGCCATGCACCTCACCAGCCTGTCGTGCCACTGCCAGGTACGCTGGTGCTGCCACGTGGAGTGTCAGACATGTGTGAGAGAAGAGGAGGTGTATACCTGCAAAAATGCATAACAAATGATAAGATGTATGCAAAGACTTGCAAAAGAATGATCCATTGGAAAAAAAGCGTGAACTGAACTATAAGCTCCTGTAGACATTTTACAAAGCGATCTCACACCACAGCATGTCTTTGCAGATCTCCATTCTGACCTGCATGTTATTTGGGGAGGAATACACACTTGTAACTTTGTAATATTGCTGGTTATTTGCTAATCATGACCAATTTGATACACAGCAGCTTACTGTAGGTGAGGATGTTTTCAAACTGCTCTGCTTTTCTCTTGCTGGATGCACTGAAAGCCTCTGGGGCAGAGGGAAATGAGTTCTTAATACAGGTACTGGACTGGACTGGACATTACCAGCAGTACAACATCAAACCCCTTCTGCAGCAGAGCTCCAACAATGACTTTGTTGTACTGTAAATGCATTGGCCCCTTCCACTTGACTATTTATTGTATCAGCCGTTGTGTCTGTTGTACTGCTGCTTTATACTTAAACTTTCTTGTCATTGCCACTAAGGCTAAAATGGCCTTTCAAGGAATCCAGCTGTCTGTCTTTCTGTCTGCTGTTTCTGTCTGCTAGGAGTTTGTTTATGAATATAAAGCACTTAACTTACTCTTGCTACATATGATACAAAAAATAATCATAGATGTTTGAAAAAAAAAGTTTAAATATATGTTTAAACAGAATCACTGGAAGCTTTGAGGCATGCCACTGATATACATTGTAACATGTATTAACAGGGTTATTGTGTAAAGAAACAAGCCGGGTTTCAGTTGCTCTTATGGAAATGTCTATGGAAATCTCGACATGTAGCCTAATGTGTGCTCAACAGAACAAAGGGAAATACCTGGGGTAATAGCGAGGGAAACACCAAACACTGTCTTTGTAAAAACAAAAGAATGAAAAACGTTTAATTCCTAAACATACCAGCCCTCCTCCTGTATTTTTTCTATTTATAGAAGCACATACTATGCTGTACTTTCAAGTTTAAAATTGCCTGACTGAACCATTTGGCCTTCAAGGTCTAATTTAGCCACATCTTTGTTCTGAATGCCTTTGAAGTAGGCTAATCATGCTCCTTATTTTCCCAAATTACTAATCAAAGAAAATTCCCATGTTTACTCACTTATCCTTGCATCCAAGACAACTCTTGAGTGTCCATGTGTGCAGGTCAAAAGTGCATGTTGAACCCCAAAGGTTCATTTTATTGGCCAGTTTATGTTTTGTTTGAGTGATTCTGAACTGTATATATGATATGAATATAACTCATGTCAGGGCTCCAGGCATATGACAATGTAGAATCGTAATTTTTCTACCTCACTTCATCTTTTTGGCAAATATCAGTAAGATTTATGAGCTATGCAGAGTTATGTTCTGTCCTTTGCATTTGTTTTTAAAGATCATATTTTAGATTTTTGTACAGTTCTTTTGAATTTTGGTAATACATATCTCCAGATTTGAAATGTTTTTTTTTCTAATCTTGTTGCATTACATTCTTATTTAAAACAAATAAGATTAATAAATGGACTTGTATTTGTAAGAGCTGCGTGTTTGTTGTGTCTTGCTCAGTTGCCTCAGGTGGTCACACTCAACCGTGCTCTCGCACAAATGCACACACACTCCACACGCAACAGCAATACACCTGCCTGAAACTCTGTGACCTGCATCTATCAAGCAAAACCACTTCCTGCTGATACTGCCCTGCCCTCCTTTTCATCTGAAAGGACTGCGGTCTCGCTGCATCACCCTCAACCGCCCAGTAAAAGGCACGGGATGGGTGAGTGGGTGGAGGACACACATACAGGTGTTGTGCCTCTAGCTAGCACATCAACCACGATGACAATCATAAGGATGACGATGACAAAAATGATGACTCAGAGGAATGTTGTCTTACTGAGAGTTTGACCCTCAATTCACCATTAGAAATTAACAGCGAGCCGCCCCAGAATGATGATGAGAGCAGTTTACGTGCTATTACCCGTGAATCATAACTTTCCACTCATCAGTGAACCTACAGCATACAGAGGGCTATTGTATGAGGTATTTATAGTGTGTGCTCTGGTGCTTTTGATGTTGTTCTCTAATTACTGTGATTACACATTATTATTCCTTATTAGAACATCAACCAGAGACCCCAAGTATCACAGTGAATTATAGGACAATTTCAAAATTACTAAGTTCTTCTCACAGGTTTAATAACCTTAGAAATCTCCATAATGGATGTACAGTATATTAAATTGTTGGAGCAAATTACCCCTCAGTGTGATGAGTATACTGCATGCCTTGGGGGGCAAGAATCTGCAATTTCTATGTAATTAAATAAACACGATAAATCTATGAGATGGGCCAAGTGTCACTCAATTTCAGCCAGATGACAAGGGGTAAATGAGCAGCCGAGTCGCCAGAAGATTTGCCAGAAATTCTGGCAATATATGTTGCTGTACGCTACAACTATGTTACATTTACACATTTCATACATAGTAGATCAATATTTCTAAAATGACGTAATATATAAGCTGACTTTCGTCACTGAAAGGTGGAGGGGATGGTGGATGACATGACACCTATGTGGAATGCCCACCAAGCTGGAGACCACTGGTTGTTTTTTGGGGACTCTTTGCTGCATTTCCATCAAACCTGGGTGTATTTCACCAATACATTGTGGCTTTCCCAGTGGCGTTTGTGCCACGCTACAGACCACTGCAGATCACTATTCGAAACCAGCAACAATGGTTGTTTTTTTGACAACCCTTTCCCTGTATTTCCATCGGCGTTTGTGGCACCCAACTTGAGTGTCTTTTTATTGAACCTGGGTGTTTTTCTCAACACAGTTTTTCCCAGCAGTGTTTGTGCCAAGCTACAGACTGCTCCAGACGCATGTCAACCTACAGACACCTGCAAAGCAACAGACCACTGCAGATCACTGTTTGAAACCAACAGCACCAGTTGTTTTTTGGCGACCATTCCACTGCGTTTCCACTTGTATTTGAGGCACCAAATTTGGGTGTGTTTCACCAATACACTGCAGCGTTTCCCAGTAGCGTTTGTGCCATGCTACATACCACTGCAGATGCCTGCCAGGCTGCAGACCATTGAAGACCACTGTTTGAAAGCAACAACACCAGTTTTTTTTTGGCAACCCTTCACAGCGTTTCCACCAATGTTTGTGGCACTGAGCCTGGATGTTTTTTTAACAACAAATCACGACCTTTCCCAGCAATACTCATGCCAAGAAATGTGTGTGTTTTAAGCCAAAACATTATCGTTTCCTAACCACAAACAAGTGATTTTTGTGGCTAAACCTAATCACGACTTCCCTGCAGCATTGGTGAGAAACGTTAAGTTTCACCGTATGCGCTACAAAATAAAATACTAGAATTATTGTAACTACTAAATAATACAATTATTGTAACTGTAGAAAAAGAAACCTGTCTTCTTACTTTCTACAGCTATCTAAAAATCAACCATTGTCAATTATGTATAGACAAAATGTTTTGAAATTTTGTTATTATTTCATTATACTTTATGTATTTATTTTCAGTATAAAAATCGTATCTTTCCAGAATGAAACAAACCCGGTGGTTTTTTTCGTTTTGTTTTTAATTTTTCAGATAAACTAACAGATTAAATGTTCCATTTGAAAACTGGACTGGTTGAAAAATACATTGTCACAAAGCTGAACACATGGCTGTTTTTCTTAGCCCACAAAAGGTTAACATTCTTGAGATACTTGGTTTTCACTGGTCAGCAACAATATGTTTTTTTGTCTATCTAATAATAACAGCATTATATCACCAATATAAACTTTTACTTTTATCCCGTGCTTCAATATTAATTTCCCCTCTTAGACAATAAAGTCAGTTCAGTGATACATAAATACGTCAGCCGCCAGGTCAAACAAGTTCATATGTTGAGACTACTGACTCACTATATTAACCCGTCATATTATAATATTCTGGATCAATATTTAACTTTATTCAACATGAATGCCATATTTTAAAAAAGCCATGTTCTTCTCAGCCGAGTTGTGGTATAAGAGAGAGGAGTGTGTAACAGAGAGCAGGGTGGACCGGGGTCGAGATATTGGGGGACATAAAGGAAAAAGATGAGGATGAAGGGATGAGAAGGGATAGTTTGTGGCCCCAGGAGGCCTATCCCCTGCTGCTGCTGTTGTTGTTTTATAATGAACTCCTAAAGCCTTCATTTCCCTCTCTGCCCTGAGTGGAGGGGGTGCAGCGATGGGGGCTGCTGAGTCCACAGCCGGATTCACACGCACAAGCCTTGAGGGTGGCTGCTTTGAGCGGGGTGGGGGGTTGGACGAAGCAGGGGTGCAATATGCAGGCTCTTGTCTGTGTGTCTGAAACAGTCCTGACAGGAGACAGGTGAGGGCAGAAAGGTTTTTGCATACGTGTGTGTGCATACTTGCCATGTGCACACCTGTGGTCACTTCAGTGGGAGTGATATGTGAGTGTGTGTTTGTAGTCGGGTTTTCCTCTGCGGGCAGTCGGCTGTAGCTTCTCTCGGTCACCCCAAGACACTGAATGACATAGACAATGTAGGGTGACGCTGGTGGTAACACTATCTCTTGTGTCTGCATTGGCCTGGTTCAGGTAAAGGTTACAATGCCGGGCTGTGCTGCAGCAGTGCACTTGCTCTGATGGATGAAGATGAATTGGAACACAGGAGCTGAGGCTTTTTTTTGAGATATGTATTATATTTGCTTTGCTTGGCGAAAAAAGATATTATCCAAAGCAACATACATAGCTTTCAGGTTTATACATCACTCATTTGCGTAAGAACAGTAGATGTTAACTGAGGCGTAGAAGGCTTGGTAGATACTTTGCTCAAGGACACAAACGCAGTCCCGTCCTGTAATCGGAACCTCTGAGCCTCAGGTCAAACATCTAAACCCTACAAGACTTCCGCCTCTGCAGAGAAGGTGCTTAGATAGCATCAGTACTGGGCCTAATCCCCACAAACACCCTGACATGGCATCGAGAGAAAACTAAATGATGAGGAGAGAAAAGGTTTTGATGCAGAAAAAGAAGGAAAAGAGAGAGACAGAGAGTTGTGAATACGGCATGGGGTAGGAATTTGGAATGTGAAATGACTAATGCAATTGCTCAACCCACAACAAGAACATGCACTGCCTAGAGCTATGACAAGGCTGAGTGCATACCTCTATGGGGGGGCCTAACGCAGAGGCTGGGGTGGACTGGGACAGTGGCTGAGCTCCTCACAATGGGTGATGAGACACACGAGTGTAGAGAAGGTGTATACATGTGTTATGGTCAATTGAGCGGGCAGCAGGGTTGAAATGATGGATTTTCACCTGAGGACAGAGGAAAAAAATATTAGTGTGGAATAGAACTTTCTGAATATTAACAAGTTTAACCCAGAGGCATCCCGTGGTGTCTACCACAGTCTAGTTTCTAAAACCTGTACGTGAATGTTCCTACGTGATACACAATGCCTTTGTCCTCAACCTCTGTTCTAGAGCTCAAATAATTAGTCATTTAATTAGACCATCAAGAGAAAAATGTATCTGCATCTATTTTGATAAGTATTCCAGTTTTTTTTTTTTTTTTTTTTTTTTTTGTAATGCTGGTAGGGCTGGGCGATATGGAGAAATCAAATATTTTTTGCGTGTATCTCAACATGGATATTGCAACCATATTGTAGGGTTAGCTATTGTACGTTCACAAAATATTTACACAACGAGAAATTGATATATAATCACCGGTGATGTGGATATAATGACTAAGTGGGTCCGGCAAGTTCAGAAAATTACAGCACTTTACTGTAATGTGGCCTTTAGAATCCAAAATCTAGCATATTGTCTTACATTCAACAGAAAATCTTTGAGTTTTGAAATGTTGGTTGAACAAAACAAGCAATCTGAATGTGCCAACTTGAGCTTCAGGAAGTTGTGATGGGCATTTTAACCATGCAGATGGTCTGTCAGTCAGTCTATCACTTCGACCTACATTTAAATATCTAAACAACTGTTTGATGGATTGCCATGACATTTTTACAGACATTATTGATCCCCAGGTGATGAATCTCACTGACTTTGGTGACTTTCCCTATAGTGCCATCATCAGGTCAAAATATTAATTTGTTCAGTAGTTTGGTTTATGACCAAATGCTAGGGCAGGGTATCACGGCATCTTCTTGGGCTGAGAAATGAAGCCAACACAGAAGTTCCAAAAACTACAGTTTCTCTAATGGCAACTTGAGGGTGGCTCCACAAGCCAGTCAATCCCCACAGACCCCCATGTTAAAATGCCCATCTTTACAGCAGAAATAAACATGTGTGCAGCCTAGTGCAAAAACAGGTTTGGTCTCTATAGCTAATTTCAACATTAATGACAACTGTATGACAACTGTACCAACCAATGGTCGCTATTGGTTCCCAAAATCAAGATTGCAATGCCTGAAACGCCAAAGTCAAGGCTTCAAAATGGGAGTCCACAAACTAATGGGTGACATCGCAGTAACTAACTCCATT